TTTATGTTTGCTCTTGTAATTTGGCTGATATGCTGATTTCGACTTCATATCCGCAGCTCGTAAAGACACTGAGCGCTCGCTTTGGCTGCCCCACTCCCCCTCTCCGCTCACCATCCAGCCGCCACCCCAGCACACATGCAGCGCCTCCTGCTTGTCGTTTGGTTGTCATGTGCGAGATTTGCGTGTGTTACGACGATTAATTTAAATCATTGATGATGCTACACAGCTCGAATGGCTGCCATCCGAAGCCTCCCACCTCGGGGTCGTATCTTTATTTCCATTTGATTTGCCCGCCCAACCCCAACCCCAGCCCCAGCCCCAAGCCACCCACGCGCACATACATTTTTTTATATGGCTCGCTGAGTGCCATGTCACAGTCTTCCAGCTTCATCTTCATCTTCATCTAGAGCTCCATTGGCATCTCCGGCCCGGCGCTCGTTAATCATTATTTTCGACATGCCACTCGTCATTTGCCTTTATTGTCATGGCGATGTAGACAAGCCTAGCAAGGGGCAGAATGAGAAGCAGGAGCAGGAGCAGAAGCAGGAGGCGACATGGCATCGCATCGCATCTCTTAGACTGTTTCCGCTGGCCCTGTTTTAATGCGGCACTTAAGCTAGCAAATCTATATACATATATCTCTCTCCCCCTCTCTCTCTCTTTCCCCACCACCCTCTTTCTTCATCTATATATATATATATATATATATATATAAAGAGTAGCTAGCCACTGCATGGTCAAGCTAGACAAAGTCGCCTACTCGTATTCAAAAGCCATTAGCCATAAAATGCAGCCAAATGCAAAAACAAATTACTCGCATCTTGTTGGGTGGCTCGCTCGGGTGGTGCACCGTAAAAGTGTGGCATAATTTATGCGTTGCAGCAAAACAGCAGCCGCCAGTTTAGGCCCAGACGGCCGGCCGTCTAGGCCCATAGCCATAGGCATAATTAGTTTTCGAACTTTCAAGTTATGACCGTGTGCTATCTTTATGGCAGGCGAGAAGCGAGCCAAGCTGCTGCAGGTAGAGAGCGCTATATACTAGATATATACATACCCACATATATAGGTATATACATGTGTGTGTGTGTGTGTGTGCTTGGCTACATAATGGCATCTTCATTGATTGTCGAGCACAGGCAGGGCCAGAGCCACTGCTGTGTCTGCCAAAAATATACAGCAACTGAAAAAATATCAAGCATACGCCATGTTGCTGCGCCGAAAATGTGCTGACTGTGTAGGTGCGTCCGCTTGGAAATGGAAAAAACCTTTAGCTATGGCAGCTGCCGCAACGACAACCTGACGCCAGTTAAATAAAAATAAAAATAACCAAAAAGAAAAAAGAAAACTCTTACACACACACACACACACACACACACATAAATGGAAGGAAAACTGCAGACGCAGTCCGAAAAACTTGGCCGAGTTGGCGACGCCAGCCAGCAGCAACGGGTTGTGTGTGAGTGTGTGTGTGTGTCTGCCTGTATGTGTGTGTGTGTGTGTGTGTGGCTGGGAGTTTTGTGGCTTCATTTTTGGTGGCTGCTGCAGCATTTTTATGCAGCTTGCATCATTTGCCAGAGCTCGCAGAGCGCGCCAACATTTCGGGTGCTTAGGCAAATGCGCTCATAATTCTAAATAAGCTGCGTCGCTGACGTTAATAAAGTGGATACGGTGTAGGTGATCTGGCTACATACAGCTGCCACGCCTCTATTTATGAGTGCAGCAAGCCAATTTCGATTATATATAGAATATATATTACAAATGTATATGTGTATTTTTGTTTGCACACACACCCACACATATATACTTATATGATTTTTCATTTTTCTTTTTGGCAGCTAGCGCAACATTTACTTTTTACTCGAGCGGCTTTTGTTATTGCAAAAGTTTCGGGAAACGAAAAGTTTCACATTCTAGCTACATATCAAAATTTTCATGCGCATTGTAAACAATGTTCTAATTGAGTTGAAAAATACATAGCGCATTATGATTGTTATTGTTCGTGCGAAAAATAATGAGCAGGAGCCAGAGCAGGAGTCAGAGCAGGAGCAGGAGCAGAAGTAGCAGCAGTGTAGAGGCAGCTCTAGGGGGCTGTATGTGTGCTTTAGCTGTAGGTCGAACAGGGTGGAGGAAGGGGGAGTGGAGGTACTGCTTCGCATGGGTAGTGTTTGCTTTAGCCTATTAGGAAAACGCGCTGCTCTAAAAACTTGAGACACTTGGCAATTTTAGACATTGCCAGCGCAAAGTCAACACAGCGCCAGGCACTCAGCTGCAAAGAGTGTGAGTGTGGAAGGGGGGGCGGAGAGTGGAAGTAAAAGTAAAATAACAAAAGATACCAGGGCTACATATGCCAAAGCCAAAAATACGTACGCTAATAGCTCAAGTGCATAGGTTATGTTCTGAAAGCCCATTAAGGCTTTTAACTGAACAAGACGGTGTGCATTAGGCTTGCATTTAAGATTGCAGAGTGGAAAAGTTTCGTTAAATCTTTAAGACTTAAAAATTACATTAAACTTCTTTACAGATATGAATTTATGCAGCAAGTTTAATGAATCTACAGCTCCTTTTTATGAGATTTATGAGAGATTCTCTTAGATTAGTTTTGTATTAATAGAAACAAGTTTTCACATGAATTCCTTTTGTTACTGTTGAGGTGAAGCTTTGAAAGTTCAGTAAAGCTCTGGTTAAGATTAAAGAAGTACTCATTATTCAGTTGACATTAATTTGCTACCTAATAAATGCATTTCATTTATAATAAATATTTGAAAGCTCTTTAATGTGAAATATAATATATATAATAAAGGGTCTCTATATTTCTGTTTAATCCGAAATAAATTCAGATACAAAATAGTCAAAGAAACGCATTTAAATATTATATTATATTCGCCGTCTTAAGCAACATTGAGCTTTAAGAGACTTGTATGCTACTCTAAAAACTCCTCAAGTTTTCCTTCTTTTCTTCATTTAGCAAAAGTTCTCTAATGCCTTTTTAATAAATACATACTTAAAATGCTGTGCAAACTTATGAAATGAACAACGAAATTTTTATATGAAGTTCTACTTTGAAAGTTCATTAAAGTTTTTACTTTTTTCAAGTATAAATATAATACTTCTTCGTTTTTTATTTAATTTATTGAAACAGTTCTAATAATTGTCAGATTTAGCCACTCAGGTCTGCAAGCCTCTTATGAGAATTATATGGTATAGTATTTCAATTATATTTCATATATAGCTCAACAATTCTGTTGCTCAAATGGCGAACCATTGTTAATCGCTTTAGTTCAGTTGAGTGCGCAGCACTACAGCAGTGCAGCCCTTAAGACAGTGCACACACACACACGCACACACACACACAGCGACAAATGGCAGAGCACACAAATTAATTTAAGCTGTAAAACAATTTAAAGTTTGCGTCTGAGCGGGTTACTGAGTAGCTGAATGAGTAGCTGAGCAAGTGATTGACTGAGTGACTGGCTGAGTAGCTGCTGGCTTGACTGGCTGTTAACAATAAGTGCGGAAATTGAAGAAGACGTTGACAGTGCAGCAGCAGCACGCAGCTTGCCTGCCTGCCTGCCTGCCGTTCCATTATTGTGCAATTAGATGCAGTGCGATACTGAGGGCCTGCCCAAACACAAGCGGAACTTACGTACTGCAGGAAGTGCAGCAGCAGGAGTAGCAGGAGCAGCAGGAGTAGCAGCTGCAACTGCAGCAGACGTTGCTTGTTAAACAAAATCAATATGAAGCATACGCTCCGTTGGACCCTGGCGCAGCATGTGCAGAACGTGATAAAGTTTTCTTGTTGTTGTTGTTGTTGTTGCTGTTTTTTGTTGCTTTCAATTTTCAGGTGTTTTTTTATTTTTTTTATTTTCATTATTTTCCTGGTGTTTGTCGCCTTAATTGGCTGCAGCCACACGTATAGAAAAATGCCAGCAAAAAAAAAAATAACAAATGTCAACAAATTGTGACAAGAAATCAAAATTTGTAACGACCGAGCAGAGTGACAGCTGCAAGACCAAGACGCCAGGCAGAAAAGGTGGTCATGATAACAAGCGAGAGAGAGGGAGAGGGAGAGAGAGAGGGAGAGAGAAAACCAGCGACCAGTTTTGTGGTGAATTTCTAACGAGATTTTATTTGAATTTAAAACAGACGCACGAAATAGCTTAACTACGGCCACACGCGGCCAACAGTTGACAGATGGCTAGAAGAGGAAGAGGGCGGGAGAAAGAGAGAGAGAAAGAGAGAGAGGGAGAGGTGCGAGTATATCCAGCTACTAGGCTTGGTGGCTCGTTGTGTTTGTCTAGCTGGCGGCGAGGCATAAATTACGCAAATAAATTGACAATAATGCGGACTAACCAAACGGATCTGTGCTTCAAGCCGTGAGCTATAGCAACAGCAACAGCAAGGCCAGGCACCAGCTTCCCTCTTTTGGCCAGGCCAAAAGGTAACGAGATTATCTGTGTCAAGACAATTATTTCCGCCGCATCAGCAGCGGCTTGTCCTTGTCTGGCAGCATTCGTGCGTGCTGTTAGCTGCCCCGAAATGCTCAATCCTCCCATTCAGAATTCCCAATTCGCATTCGCATTCGTATTCGTATAGCTATTGCCCCATTTGGTGTTGCCAACGAATGTTGAATGAATGAATGATTGCTTGATGTCTCGCTGATGGCATTCATTTACATGATTGCCGCATTGCGTTTTACTGCTGCGCCACGGTAATTGCGCTTGAGGACCCGCACTCACACTCACACACACATACACACTCACACTCTCGCACTCGCACTCGCATTGTATTCAAATCATTTTCATCTGGGCTGCTCAAGGCGCAGGGCCAAATTAATTAAGACTTAAAGGCGTGTCAGCTGTCACACATAGCTCACACACACACACACACACACGCACTCACTCCCACACATACAGTTGATTAGCCTTTGGCTAGAATTGAAAGCTTGTGCTTACTCATCCAGCTGATCTCCCCCTAAAAACTCTCATCATCTATCTTCACAGCTCACGGTCCTGCAACTACAACATTGCGCATTATCATTCACAACTCATCCGATTGCCATTGCCTCGCATGCCACCCCCACCCCAGCCCCATCGGAGTGGAGCGCTGTACCCGAATCGTGCAACTGCCCCAAGGGCATGCTTATGCAGGTGCAAAAGGGGCGAGCAGCACGCTTTATTGTCCTTCTGCGGCGCACAGGTGAGTGGTGCAACTGCTGGCTCTAAATATACATCAAGCGAGGAAGCGAGGAACCGAGGAAGCCAGCTAGCTAGCTAGCTAGCTGCCTGCCTGCCAAAAGCGTCGAGAAAGTGACTTTTAATGGGTTTAAATCAAGTCAAAGTTGTTGAAAGTTGACTTGATTTGCGCGGATAGCGTATTACGGCCATCGCCGCATTTTATGATGCTGCGACCGTAAAAAAGTTTAAGCTACCCGAGATCAGCTCTCAAGTACTAGCTGAAGCAGGAACCGTAGCTGGAGCTGCAGCTGAAGCTGTTGTCATCGCTGGGCCACTTGATGGCTCAGCTCGTTAGGTAATTTGGCTTTGATTGGGGTTTTGGGTGCATTTCGTGCTGCATTTGTTTCAATGACGCACAACTTGTAGCTTGTCGCAAAGTTTTCATCCTCCTGCTGCTGACGTGCACCGGGAGAAAATCCGGCGACCAACTGAAGCTCGCCCCTGACAGGTGCTTGGATTTATACGCTTCACAGAGTTGAAGCACATTGCGTAGTTGCTGCAATTGAGCGTAAATCTTAGATCGTTAACTTGGAATAGAGCAATTGCATTTTGTGTAGACTTCGAATACCTGAAAGTCGACGAAAATTGTTTTCAATTTAAGAGCTAGGAGAAGCACAAGGTTTTCATTTCACATAGGTGCGAGAGACTTGTATCAGCTCTCATATTTGCATCTCCTCTTAGCAGTCTAGCTAGTCTCTCAATTAAAATGATTAATTATATAAATGATTGGATAATATTTAGAGAGAAAAAATATCATATTTTATATAAATGTTGTTTAGATTTTTGTTTGCTCAAATTTAACATAAACTTTTAAGCTCATCTCGCCTCTCTGCAACATTCACACTTCATTTAAGTACAAAATGCTTGATACTTTTTCTCTGAGTGCGCGTTGACCGCGCGTTGTCAGCAACTTTGTATGCGGCTTAAAAAGTCAACAAATGACAAAAAAAAAATAAAAAAAAAATAAAAAAAAAATAAAAAAAAAATAAAAAAATTCCAGCACGCATATGTGTGTGTGTGTGCCACGCCCAGAAAGCAGTTGAAAATGCTCGCTTTAAACGGCAATTATCCTTTTTGGCAGCATAAAAAGTGTCAGTCTGGCTCGTATTTTATTATTCGATTTGGGTTTTAGCAGCTTTATCCCTTTTAAATGTCACGTACACGCATAGCATACCAAGTGTGTGTTGGAGTATGTATATATATGTTATATAGATGTCTGCTACTCACAGATATGACCAGCAGCAAAGCTAAGATTTTTATTACTTTATTTTATGCTCGTGCTGTGCTCCAGTTGGCCCGGACCCTTAAGCCAAGGCAATGAGACTCTAATGCGCGTAAAACTAATACAAATGCGTTTCTTATCCGCTCCCGCCTGGAACCACCCACCCAGCGCCCCTCTTCTCCATTCACTGCCACCATTTCAAATTGGTTGTACTTTGCCACAAGTGACGGCTTATGCGGCAATATACATAAGTAATATTGTCCTTGTCCTTGTCCTTGTGCTAGCTCTCTCTCTTCCTCTCTCTCTCTCTCTCTCTATCTCTCTCCTTCTCTATGTGTTTGTGGTAGCCTTGAGCTGTTGCCCTGTGGTCGATATGCTCATATGTTGGCCATAGCTTAACTAAACAACCGTTTGATATCATTGCTAGCATTTTACGCCCTTATCACATTCACGTTAACACTTCAGTATCCATCAACACAGCCCAGCCCAGACTAGCCCAGCCCAGCCCCATTCTGAATATAGTTTAATGAGATACTTGCCATTATGTGAAATGAAATAATGATATTCACAAAGAGTGATAAATCTAAGACGAAATTGTGAATTGAGGGCAGGCGTATTTTAATGCTGAATGGCATAGAATGAACATATTCGATATATATGAGGGATGTTTGCTCAACAATAAGCAAAAGTTGATTGAATTTCTATAAGATATGGTATACAATACAATATTGATTAGTAAGAAGATGTATGAGTAGAGGAGATATTGAAAATGGGAACTGTTCTTTTGTTATTTAGTCAATGTACGAAAAAATGGTACATTGATTGGATTGACAGTTCTGTGTAGAGTTCGAGTATTTAATAGTCAGTCACTACCAACTAGAGCACTCCACTAGAAGGGGATAAGGTATATAATATGATGATATGATATAATATAAACAAATGATAATGGAAGTAAAGTAGTATACCGGGTATTTCCAAGTCGGGCACTCTTGACTAGAGGTCTCTACTCGTATAGGACGTGAAAAATAATATGATATATTTATAAAACTAAAACACATTACAAACGAAAGTTCTTGTTTGTCATAAAAGAAGAATAATTGAATGACTTAAAAGACACTTTTCAGAGTATTTACTAGTCAGATACTCCCCAAAATCTATATTATATAAAAATTTGACTCTACTCAATATTTTGTTATAGAAAACAATGAAATTACTTTTCAGGAATTGAATTCCTTATGCTAATCTATATTATTTCCAATCAAATAATTTCTCATTTATTCATTTTGCTTTTTATTTCCATGCATTCCATGTAAATCAAATTTTCGCATCTGCATGCGCAGCTTCAATTTCAATTACAATTAATTTTGATTTGCAGCATTTTGCACATTTTTTAATTAAAAAGCATCCATTACGCATGCCTTCAATATTCATAATTTACTTAAACTAAAATTCGATTTACAATAAAAGTCCTCTATCAGCTACATTTCTGCGGCAATTTGTTATGCAATTGCTCTTCTTCTTTTTTCCTTGCCATCTGCCCTCCTCCTCTCGTCTGTCTTTTGGCTTAAATGCCATGTATAAATTTTAAATGTTTTGCGTTTGACACAGAGTTCAGGGAATTTTTTGTTCATAATCGAAACTTTGTCATTGATTGCAGTGCGTATATAAACCGTTATGTCATCTGCATAACGATCACATATATATACAAAAATATATAAATATATATATATATATATAGTTTATTATTTATTCATAACAATCTGGCGAAATTTCGCATGCAAGTTAATTGCAGAGCTTTTCATAAAGAGTTCATTTCAATATCAACTGCTGCCGGAAAATGCGCCAACAAATTTGATGTCGCTCAATCAATTTTGATTGCAGTGTCAGATGCAGCAAAAATTATAAACTTGAGTGTACCCAAATATGTGAATACCCTGTATATGTGCAGACGTTTCTATATTGAAGAGGATCTAGAGAAACTTCAATAGAATATACCTAAAATACTATTTTTAAGGCATATTTTAAAGTCATATTTAGTTGCTCCTTTATTAATAATAGATTATTTGATTATTTTCTTATTGCATGTAGCACAAAAAAAGAAAATAAATAAATAAATAAATAAATAAAATAAAATAAAAAAAAAATAAAAAAAATGAAAACAAAAAAATTATAATAATAATAATAAATTACCAAAAATAAATAAACAAAAAGCTATTTAAAAAATTAATAATAATAATACATAAGCCAAATAATAAATATAAAAAATTTACTAAACAAAAATAATAAAATATATAAATATCAAATAAGGATATTACATATATCTCTAAATAAGCTAAATACATACTAAATAAATACGACATAAATATTATCTTCGATATTTGTATTAAATATTATGATTTAAAGAGTGATTGAGAAATAGATATGCTAGAATATCAGATATTATCAGATAGTTGGGCTCTCATTAAGCTATTCAGATTCGATATCGAAATATTTGTTCCACTTCAAATGGCACAGCCGTAGTTTAAGAACTGTAACGACTCCCCTGTTGATATTGGTGCATTATGCATATACCTATATAGTATATATACAAATTGTGTTTACGTGTGTGTTGGAATGCATTTGTACAGCTGCAACATGCCCCTATGCTCCAGCAATTTCCATGCGAAAAAAGTTCGCATGTGACATATGATTTTTGTTGCTGTGTGTCAAAAAATTGCATTAAAAAAAGAAAAAAAAAAAAAAGTATGTGTGTGAGTGTTGATATATGGTTATTCGTTTGTTTGGGAGTTGCCATTTAATTGGTCCAAATGATTGCCAAATGAATGGCTTGTAATATTGGCAACATATTTGCCAAGCAAATTGCAAGCGAACAAGTGCCAGCCTGAACGAAGGACCCCACAGCCCATAGCAATAGCAATGAGTGCAGCAACAATAAATTGTTCATTGATTGGCTGCCATTTCGTCAGCAAACTCTCTCTATAAAAAAAAAATATTTATATATATATTTTTATATGTATACTTATATGGGTAGACGAGGCAGGTCAATAAGTAGTCATACGTAAACTACGCTCAAGTTTTGTGCCTTTCCATTACGTTAATTCCGAACTAAAAGGACAAAGTTACATTTTCGGCCCAAGTCAATAAAAAGCCACTCAAACGTCTGCGATTAGGGCCTACACATAAATTGATTTTATGCAAAACTTTTCTATCATCGAGCTCAAACAAACTGAGAGCGACCAAACGAGCAAGCAACCCATCGACCAGCCGGCCAATCGAGCCATATGGAGCGGGAGCGTGCGTTTGCACAAAGTTGAGATTAGTCGCATTGACAGGCCCAACAATGGCAACAGAATTTGTTTTAATTAATTGTCATTGTTGTCGCTGGCTGAGGGAAAAATTGTCAAGGAATGCAAATCATATCAAAGTTTGCAGATCATCTTAAAAGCGCGCAAGTCACGACCCCAAAAACTTTCCACTTAGGCAGCAAAGCGAACTGAGAGAAAAAACAGAAAACAGAGCAGCAGGAGCGGTAGCTGGAGCATCAACAAAGTTTCATTGAAAATCCGTAAAACCGTTAAGCTCGCCGGTGGGTGTGGCGCATAGGCGGTGGCGCATCGTTAGGTTTTGCAACATATGACAAGAAATGACTCGAACGCTTTATAAACAGCTTAACATGCCATTGCCAGCCACGCGAGCAGCAAAAACAGCAGCAGCCAGCAGGACGAGGCTTAACTGCTATTCTGGCCACATCCTGGCCATGTCCTGCTCGCCTCACACACACACACACACACACGGACACACACACATAAAGCGCTTACGCTGTGGCAGATTGATTTGTGGTCGAGTTCATGCCAAATTTAACTTTAATAGTTTTTACTGGATTTACTTTTAATTAATTTTTGCGACAAGCTGCAACTGAACGCTGAGCCACCAAGCAAGCAGTTGCTTCATTTGTAACCGACTGTGGCAGTGGCAATGGCAATGGCAATGGCACTCGCCACTCGCTGTGGCACTGCCGGCGTTTATCGTGGCGCGTAAAGCGCAATTAATTTCTTGTCTGCTTGTAGCAGGAGTAGCAGCAGGAGCAGCAGCAGGAGTAGCAGCAGGAGCAGCAGTAGGACCAAGCCACGCCTGATACCCAGCCGCCATTAATTATGAGATAAAGCACTAAAATGTATCAAGTTGTTGCGCAACTGTTTTGCGACAAAGTTGCTGCCACAATTTACTGCGAAATGCCGGCACACATACATATACATACATACATATCTATGCACATATATATACATAGATTTTGTTTTGTTGCCTTATCATTTATTATTTCTGACTGTAGCTATCATTAAATTAGCATGCCCAGCTGCTCAAGCCGTTCGCTTAATATTCTTCTCAACATTGTTTGCTTGCAGAAAATCAACTTGGCCGAGCTTGCTCACACATACATACATACATACATACATACATTGTGGTAAGTAGTTGGTGGCAGCTGCATAATGTTGCACAATCTAATTAAATGCGGAAATGCGAAGCCGTGCAACAGCAGCGGCAGACAAAATCAAAATGTCGTTAACATGCAGCCCCTTGCATGAGTGCGTGTGTGAGAGAGAGAGAGAGAGAGAGAGTGGGGTAGGAGTGGGCTCTATACACAATCAAATAGACATTGGTGCCCCTCAATCGATGCAGCATTGAATTGCAGATTCTCTGCCTAAACTTTGACTATTTGAAATGCGCTGCACAGAGTGCCAAAGCGTCTAGAGTTTTAAGCCGTGCAACAACAACAACAGCAACACAAGCACCATGAACAACTGCTAAATCCGTAAGTCAGGCACAAAAGTATTCAAAAAGAAGTGCAGCTGAAAAAGTTCACATTTCAAGATGCCATTTTCTTGACTTTTGCAACTTGGCTTTCAGTTTGCACGGCCGTTGCCGCAAATGTGTGCAACACCGCAGCCACCACCACCGCCACCAGCACCACCATCAACACCACTAGCAGCACAACATTATGTGCGTCTGTATGTGTGTGTGTGTGTGTGTGGGCGTGGCTGTACAAATGAATACCCTGCTGGCGCAGAAGCAGCTTGTCGCATTTTTTCGCGAGTCTTAAGATGTCTGCCAAAAAAAAAACAAAAAAATAAAGAGAAGCAGATGAAAGCAATTAAACATAAGTACGTGCATAATCTTTAAAAATGAGAGAGACTGAAAAGAAGCTTTTGGATGTAGTTTTTTATTTTTTTAAGTAATTATCTGTTATATGACAGCAATGAAGCGACGTGAGATTGTCTGGCGAAAAGACTTTATTGAAAACTGCAGAGCTCTGACAACAAACAGCTATTAAAGCCTGACTATAAAAGAAGTTTATTAACCGCCTAGTGTTTATTCAAAATTAGATAGAATAACGAGCTTTGAAAGTGTATGCAAAATTTTAGAAAGCTTTAACGCAGAGCTTTTAACAAAATTCTGAATATTTGAGATGTTTCTATTATTATTATTATCAGAAGTTTATTGAGTAGCTTAAGCATGAGGGCAAAGTTCATTAAAAATAACGTACTCATTTAAGAGCTTCGAAAGCTCATTTTATGTAGCTGTAAAAGTTATTCAACTTTTCAAAAATCACATGACAGCTTATATGCCAAAAGTGAAGAATAAAAAAAATTCCAAAACTCTTAAAGTTCAATGAAAGCACATGACAGCTTCACATTAATCACATTTGAAGCATTTCAGGCGAAGCAATAGGCTTTGCTTCACAAAGTTTTTAAAGGACTTCACATTGTATATGAGCTTAGACTTCGCTGATAAAACAGCTTTTGCGATGCTGGGTATCTTGAAGTCTGTCACAAGTTGCCAGACTGATTTTCTGCCAGCTTGGCGCCAGCTGCAAAGACAACAACGCCGCCGAGCTGACTGGCAACGGCCGGAGTTAAACAACTTACTTAGGCAATGTGCTGCTGACGGGTCAGACAGTCAGACAGACAGACAGAGAGAGGGAGAGGGAGAGGGAGAGGGAGAGAGAGAATGAGAAACGGGTTAGAGTCACTCGACTGGCAGTCAGGAAATTGTTGCATTTGGGCTTTTGTATGTTGTGCAAAAGTCAGCAGAAATCTACTTGACTTGACTTTTGCTTGCCACAAGAAAAAAAAAAAACCAAGACAAAAAAAAAAAAAAAAAAAAAAAAAAAAAAGCAAAAATAAGCAGTGCAAAAAAAGCAACAAAAATTGAGGCCAAAATGTAACGAGACGTTAGACGTTCCGCAACAACAGCAACAACCACAGCAGCCTAGACGAAGAGGAGCTCCCATTCCGCTGCTCTGGGCTCTAGCACGTATTTGTTTTAATAAAAGTTTTGCGCAAAAACTTAATGAAATGTTGCCAGCCTGTAAGAGCAACGAAATAGGAAGCTGGGCATGTAGACATGCTGCTGCCCCTGCTGCTGCTGCCTCTGTTGCTGTGCCTTTGCATATTTAGCCACAGCTCGAGACAAGCCAAAAGTTATGTTGCTTATGCACAAAAGGAAGTTGTTTTATATAACGCTTGAGATGGCTAAAAGAATGTCTTTCAATTAAAATAATTCTCTATGTGAATGAGTGTGTGTGTGTGTGTGTGTGTTCTCTTGTTATACAGATATTAGTGCTCATTTGTAGCGTGTTTAACAGATTTAATGCAACACTAATGAATAGATCCAATTGCCACTTGGCCAGCTTCAGTTTTTGGTTTCGACTCTGGCATTGGCTTTGGCTTTGGCTTTGGTTTTGGCTTTGGCTTTGGCAATTTGTGGCCAGCAACCAGAGGCAGCCTGTTAATTGGAAAGTTTCTATGCAATTATAAAACTTTTTTCATTATTTTGTGGCATTTTTCAGTTGCTGCTGCTGCTTCTGCTGCATCCGTTGATATTTTGTATCTCTGTGCTGGCAGTTTTTGGGCACAGGCAAATGTTTCTCGCCACAGGTAGCTGTAGCTCGAGCTGAGAGACAACTGTAACCGAGACGGACCCAACTCGTGTGTGACCAAAGTTAAAATGGAAATGAGAATGGAAATGGAAATGCATAGCTAGAAATAACACCAACAGCAGGAGCAGCAGGAGGAGCAGCAGCAGCAGCAGAAAATGACAATGTCAGTGCCTGAAATAACTTCAGGAGCGGAGCGAGGTGCGGTATACACACACACACACACACACACATGTCATATGAGTATTTTTGTTGTGCTTGCTGGCAACGCAAAATTAATTTCATTTTGTGCAGCGCAACAAAAGGCAAGTGACAATTGCAACTGCAAAAGCGTTTAACATGAATTTTATTAAATGCGTCGACCAATTGCCAGCAGCAACAATTAAAGCAGTGGCAGCAGCAACATCAGCAACAACAGCAACAGCAGGAGTAGCAGAAAGAGTAGTAGCAGCAGCAGCAGCAGCAGCAGCAGCAACAGCAACAGCAGGAGTAACAGCAGCAGCAGCAGCAACAACAGCATCAGCAGCAGGAGTAGCAGCAGTAGCAACATTTAAAGAGAGATATTCGTTAACTTCCACACGCCTACTCACCCACTCTCCCCTACTCTCTCTCTCCCTCTCTCAGTCTCTTCTTCTCTGTTGCTGTCTCTAGGCGAACGAAAAGCCAAATGAATAGCTAAGAGGTCCCACTTGGCCATTTAGGTGCACAATTGATGTGGTTTGATTTTGTTATGGTCATGGCAACTACATAAACACAAATGCCAAGCATCGACGTCAACGCTGCTGCTGCTGCTCCTGCTGCTGCTGCTGCTGCTGGCGCAATAACAACACTAAAAGCAATTCCCCAGTTGGCTGCTACAGGCTCAGCGCCAGCCCCAATGAAACGAATGAATAAATGAAGGCGGGGCACTAACACACACACATACTCTGAGGCGCAGCTGTGGCAGCATGTGCACATAATAGCTGCTAAGCAACTGTCCGCTGTCTGGGTGCTCGGTGTTCTTCCTTCTGTCTGTCTGTCTGTCTGTCTATCTGCCTGCCCGGCTGCCTGGCTTTTTGAACGTTTGAGTGCTTTGCCAATACCTGTCCCCAGTTGGCGGACAATTGTGTTTGGCATGTGCCTTGATTTAAATGATACTGAAATTGATTTGATTTAAGCGCAAATTATAATATTCCTGCCTTCAGTGCCCCATTCAGCGGAACTTGTTTGGCCTGTCCGGCCGGACACTTGTGGCAAGTGCTCAAGTGCCATAGAAGAACGAGCGCAACTTTCAAATGGCAACGGAAGTCCGACATAGCCCAGGCTAACATATACATACATACATCTATATATATATATATATATATATATATATATATATATATGTGTTTGTATATGGAATGAAAGAAAATTGAGATCAATTTCGAACGGAAGCCTTTTTATTTGATAGCCTTCGCTGGCAGCTCGTGCCAGCTTCTGTATTTATTTGCACTTTGGCAAATATAATAAATAACTTTTTTTCCCTCGTTCGCTCAGCTACTTTTCGTATTTGGACAGCGCTTTAAACTTTGTCTCAACTGCCAATTCGATGGCAGTTCAAAATCAATAGAGAGAGAGAAAAGTGTTGCCTACTTTTTGGGGCTGGCTGCAGAGCAGGAGGAGCCGGGGGGGCAATCGTAGCTAAACCACAATCAATTCAATTTGCGGCAAATGTCATGTCACAGCCACAATCTCATATGTCTGTAATTATAATTTATAAACATTTAATGCCGCCTTTGTGCCGAATCAATCGAATGTATGTATGTGTGTATGTATGTATGTGTACATACACGTTTTTATGTGTAACTTGTCAGGGCTCATCTATTGATAGATAATCTTTTTTGTGCAGCGGCCATGGCATGCCATTAATTATGTGAAGCGTCAGACACACACTGGCACGACACACATAGCTCAATCTTAGCCCCAACCACACACACACACACACACACCCCCACACGCACGCTGTGGGTGCCTCGGACATTTTTTTTTGACACCGCATTTTCATTAAATGGATTTCAATTATATAACCAAGGGAGCTGGGTAAAAATGTATTACATTAAAATTTATGAAAGCGGTTAAAACGACAGCAGCTCGTACAGTAGCTACACGCTACACACAATACATGCATAAATATGAAAAATGTTGTAGGGAAAACAAGAAAAACTGAATTCATTAAAAGTAAAAATTCAGCAAGAGAGGAAAATCACTTGGCAAACAGGCAAAAGCAGCAGCAGCAACAGCAACAGCAGTGGAAACCCTTTGATATTTAATGCCATCACCCCCTGCTCCACGCCCTCCCTCCCCCGCCCCTTCTTAACCTCTCGTTGGCCCCTGTCGCAGTTTATTTGGCAACTTAATCGCCCAACTGGCCGCCATTTCATTGAAATTTTTGGCTGTTCACGACGCGACGCGACGCGACGTTTTATTAAATTTCAGCACAGCAGTTGCTTTCATTGTTGTACGCGCCAGGGACAGCTGAGGCGGCTGAGGCGGGGGTTTTGTTTTTTATA